CGTTCCGGGACTCATCCGGAACGGCCCGTTCTCCCTCCGGAACGGCCCGTTCCCAACCACGAATTTCAGTTTAATTTAATAGCTTGGAACGGCCCGTTCTAGATTGGGAACGGCCCGTTCCGGGCTACTAAATCAGCCACCATTTTTTTTTTTAAACTACGTTACAATCATGATTCTCACAAATTATAAATCCATAAAATCATGATTTATAGGAATAATTAACATGTTTTTAATTGATCATAAATATTTCTAAGAATATTTATATGTTACTTGAAATAAATTGTTTTTACTACATTAAATAAAAAAAATAAATATAATGTAATATTTTACAAAAATAAAATATTCTATTTAACTTGTAAATATTAGATTCTTACCTATTTCATTAAAATAATTAATTACATCTCTCGCTAATAACATTATAAGTTGAAAGGTGTTAACAACACAACTAACTTGGAATAATTATACAAATTTTTATTAAATTATATACAAGAAAGGCTAATTGATATTCAGTGATTATAACTTGTAAATTCTCTCGAATATCATATATATATATATATATAATTTTATATTTAAATATAATATATATATATATATATATATATATAATTTATTATTAAAGCTAATTAATATTATTTAATTGTAGTAATTTCATTTAAAAATATTTTTTTGAACTATCTTTCATTAAATTTTGATATAATAAGGAAAATGAATCGTTAGAAATAAAAATATCAATTTAATGAAAATATTTTAGTGATAGTAGTATTAAATAAACACAAATTATATAAAATTTACTTATATTTTTTAGACTAACTCATGTAATTTTTTGTTTTTTTACTTATATCCAAGACTAAGGGATTACAAATAAAAAATACATTAATAATGACTCAATCAAATTTAAATAGCATATATAACATAAACATCTATCGTAAAAATGCATGACTAATAATTAACAAGCTTGTAAGTTGAAACTTACTTTCAATAGATTTTGCATAAATTATCAAGAATCTTCGGACCTTAGTAAACAAAAGTTTAACCATTAAGGAGAAGTCATGAAGTCATGAAGTCATGGCTTAATCACTTGATATAAATAAATATGTTTAATTATGATAAATGTTTTATTGTAAATTAATCCATACATATTAAACACAAACATTTATCTTATGTAAGAGTTCTTTTAGGAGTCTTTCTTTGATAATAGGGTTTTTAAGAATTTTTTTAATTTTTTATTTAATTTAATTTTTATTTATCATAATTATTTATAAATTAAATTTTAATATTCTTAAAATAAATTATCAATAAATAAAAATCAATACCTATTTATTAAACATGAATCTTCATTTTGCATAAAACCTTTTTTGGGAGATTTTTCCTTGGATAAAAGAGATTTTGTAACTTCTTATTTAATTTGATTTTTATTTATCATGATTATTTATAAATTAAATTTTAATATTTTAAAATAATTTATCAATAAGTATAATAATTTAAATTATTTATCATAAATCTAAAATATAATTATATGTTAAAAAATATCTATTTATATGAATTTTAAATATAATATATATATATATATAATTTATTATAAATTTTAATTATATATAATAAATATTTAACTTGTACATATGTTAAATTATTTGTATATAATGTTTTTAGCATGAAATCCTATATTGGCTAACTTTATCTTTGCATAATAGTTTATATACCTACTTGTTTTATAAGCATTTAAAGAGACTAATAATAATGAGGTTGGCACCCAGAATCTGGACCAAACAGTGTGTGTTTGTTTTTCCGTTTCATTCAACTGAATGTCAATCCATCTCCCCTTTTGTTTCTACGTTTCTGTCTTGGAAAGTGAAAAAACTCAGTTGAACGGCGTTGAAACGATAAAACAAACACACCAACAGTTCTGCTAACATTGAGAAGTTCTCTGCTACTAAAACATGCTTAACTCCGATATAGAGCAATTTAAGCTTACACATAAAAGAGATAGAACGGTCGAGAACTAGTCACCATAGGAAGCTACGATGAAGATAAATCAAAAGCTAAGCATACATGAGTAATTTTCAAAAGAGCATAAGCATCCAATGCTTCTAATTGCAATATTGATAATCGAGATCCCCACATCATCCATTGTTTATGGTGATAACAAATTTGCTCTTCACACTACAAACTAATATCGTCTTTCATGAAAGAATCAACATGTGGTCCAACAAAAAGTCCATGTTCACTTGTCATCCAAAGATCAAGTGATCTTGTTCATCATTCCAAAGCTTGGAGTGTTTGACATCCATGTAAATAGTAAATTAGAAAGAACTATCAATCGTTAAATTTAGTTACATTGTTATCTAAAATTTAGGTAAATTATATTTTTTTACTCATTCAGTTTTTCATAATGAAAACGAGCACTTTGCTCTTCCCCTTGAGGATTCTTCAGTTTTCAGTCTTACCAAGAACAAATTGAGGCATTTGTTGTACACACGTATATACAAAAGAAGAGAACAAGTACTGTTTCAGCCTAACACGAAAGGACAAGACAGACAAACTTTCATCATTCAACAAATTTGCAACATCCACTACAACATGTAACACGCATACAAAGCATTTCCTTTACGAAGATTAAGAAGGAAAAAAAAAAAAATTAACTTGCAAGCACGGAAAAATAAAACTCAATATATTTCAAGACTAAAAAATGGGTAATGATTTCCAAGCAATATTTTGGTATGGTTTAGTAATAGTATGTCTATATTAAGGCAACATTATGCAGCTAGCTTGAGCTTCTTTGTGATGGTGGCAATGTACTTCCCTTGGTGGAATGCTTGCTCCAACTCAAGCTCACTTGGCTGTCTTGAGCCGTCACCTGCGTAAGTTCCGGCTCCATATGGACTTCCACCTTTAACTTTCTCCATCTCAAACATGCCCGCACCGAACGTGTATCCAATTGGAACGAATATCATTCCATGATGAACCAGTTGAGTTATAGCAGTGAGCCTGTAGTGGATTCCACAAGTTTCAACATGTTAATATATTTTGATTCATCTTGGTAATATAGGAAGGGACTATTTAGGTAAACTTATTCATAAGTACTTCTACAAGAGAAAAATAAGAAATAATAAATAAATTTTTTATAAGTTAAAATTAACTTATCCATAAACTAATTTGTAGAAATTATTTCTTATTAATTTCCCAAAAATCTTATATTTAACTTGGGCATAAGCTGGTTTGAACTTCTGGAAAAGCTTAAACTCTAAGAAACCAAGCACTCAAATAGAGGGTTCTTACGCTGTAGTCTCTTGTCCACCACCTTGTGAACCGGTACTGTAGAAGAGTCCAGCAGGCTTGCCAGCAAGCTGTTGTGTTCTCCATAAACCTCCAGTAGCATCTAGAAAGGCTTTAAACTGAGCAGCCATCATTCCAAATCTCGTTGGGAAGCCGAAAACAAAGCCGTCAGCTTCAGAGAGTTCATTGGGGGTAATGAATGGTACATCACTCTTGGGTGGTGCACTCATCTTACCAAGAACCTCCTCAGGAAGTGTCTCGGGTACCTGTTCACAGTTTCAACAAGGTTAGCAAGTTCTATAAAACGATGAAATTGTTTACAATCTTCACTGACTGGAAAATGTTTACATTTCTTCTCAAGTTTAGCAAGAATGAATTTGGAGGCAAAATTTTGGTTCAAGAGACTGCAGAGTATACCGAAGTTAATCGCACGAAAATTATTTTGAAACTGAAGGCAAGAGATCCTCCTGCTATATGGCACTCATATAGATAGTCTTGAAATAACATTGTGGCCATAGAAATAGAAGAGAGAAATAATAAAGAATTATTTGGAAGTACATACTCTTTTGATCACTCTCTACTGTTGATTGAAATTTATTGAAAATCACAAATGGTCGTGGGTCTTACTTCTTATTTAATAAGTCTCTCTCCTAGTTTTGTTGTTTTTAATAAAGCAAATGTATGATAGCAAGAATGTGTTAGAGATTGTATCACTAACACTCCTTAAAGGAAAATATGGTGACAACAAAGGAATTTAACCAACAGAAAATTGAAACTAACCATGTAACAGTTGGAAGGAAAGCACAATAATGTTCAGTTGAAAACCAAATATCAAAATAACAATGCAACAGATAGGTGTTAATGTGTTATACAAATAGTTTTTTTTTTTAATGCATTTATTTGCTCTATTGGAGAAACTGATGCTGCCCCCAATTTGTAATCTCATGCTATGACACAATGGAATACCCAGGAGATGTAAATTAAATAATGTAAGAAACATAACTACATGCCTGCCATAATTTGGCCTCAACACCTTCCACAGAAGAAGCCCCTTTCTTTATTTCTTCTGCAAGTTTCTCAACATGCCCATACATGGAGTAGTACCTGTCAAAACAATTTGAAAATGACACTTTGTACGTAAACTCTTTAGGACAATAAAAAAGAAAGAGGAAATGCAGAATTGCATATCAATAAAACAAATGGCCAGGAACATAAACACAAAAGAATTATACTTAAACAAGAGTACACGAGTTTACAAAAAATTGCAATATTTGGTAACTATTTTAGATGGATCTTATGCCTGATAAACAGAGCAGTTGTCAACCAATGGAACCCAATCACTAAATTATTTGCAGAAATTTCTTGTGTAATCCAGATTTCAAATTTTGATCAACAGTCAAACACTTGAATTATCCCTATTTTGTTTGCCCTTTAGACAAGACAGCCTACTTCTGTAAATTTGTTTATTAAAATCTTGTCCTTAGTTGACCAAGAAGTCAAAATTGTGTCACTTTAAACACTGACGCATGAAAGTTACTCATAATCATGGTTTGCATTGTTGCCCATGCAATAGGAATTTGTGACATGAATTCCCTCATGCCAATGAAAATTGGAAATTGAACTCACAAAAAAGCAACAAGCAAGGTCACTACAAAATAGTAAATATAGACACAGACAATAATGCCTTTAACAAAAACATTATGGCTAAACCAAAACATTGGATCAAAAGTCCAACCATGAGAACCAGTAGTATATAATGGCTAAGCCTCTGTTAGAACTTAACTTAGAAGTTAGAACAGGGTCCTAAATGATTGGGCAGGAGTGATATAATTCTGATCCTTACTCAACTTTGAAAACATTAGAGAACCGCATTGCAATATCAACAAGCTATTAATATTTTTTTATCAACAAATGTTAATAATTATTGTGTTATGTTAGTCAGGAGAATTCGAACTCACTCCCTCTTTATCACTCTAACCTTGTGTCTCTCCCCTGAATCACCGGACCACTTTATAATTAACCAATAAAAATTTGCAATCTCTTCTCTGAAAGACAATAAATATATGCGCACGAAGTGGAATTAGTTGATTTGAAAATCAGACAACACTTCTTAGTTTCCTTTATTAATTTTTATTCTAACATTCTAAATTAAGTGCCAGTTAACCAATTGGTATCAGTAAAAAAATATTTGGAAGTTCAAAACCTTGTAAGATCAATTTACTGTGTTACACTAGCAATCCCTTTTCCCTCCATTTGATAGCAATCATTACCAAAGTGACTACTGAATAAAACTAATCTCACAGAAAACTTGCAGACAATATACCGAAGTCAATTTGTTAAACGAAAATAAATGAAAATAGCAGCCACATGGGTAACAAAAAAAAAGAGCGAAAAGCATGCCTCATGAAGATTTCTGTTTCTGTATATTTTGTGTTTTTATGTACAGGAATATGTAGCTATTGCTTTAGTATTACTTGTGACATTCAATAGCTATTGCTTTAGACTTTAGGATTGCAATCAGAGACATCTAGAGCCACACTAAACAATTATTCACTTTCCTTTAATCTGTCAATGTTAAATGAAAATAACAAGTTTGATACTGCCTTCATATATGCAAATTTGAGATGTCCACAAGTATTACAACTGTATGAACAAAATCTTATCTGATATGATAATTGTTTAAGTATCACAAGAAAAGGATGAATCATCATCAAAATATTCTTTTTATTGCATACATACTAAATTAAAAAATACATAGAAAATACTGAAAAAGTTTACTAACCAAGAAACTGAAATGGGGACATTGACATCAGTGCTTCAACTGATTGCTATTTTTCATTATAGTGAAGAAAATAAATATTTACACATTTTTGAAATCAACCATACTTCTAAGATTGATGAGTATGATAATGTTGATTTTAATGTAAATCATCATACTTTAACAATAACCAATCAGAAAATTTCAAAATATGAGATCTTAGATTGTAAGTTGACTAACTGAGATGAGAAGTCCAATTGAAAACAGCATAAAATTACGTTCTTCTCTTTGAAGATGATCAGTAAAGTAAATCTTAAAAAAAATGAATAACGCTGCAGCGTTGCAAAAGTACATGAAGAATATCTTAATTCTATAGTCTTCCATTTATATTTTTCAGAAAAATTCAAGTCACATCAAAGTCAGATAACTGAAATCAAGGAAAAATAGCTTTTCTGCAGAGGATGAATCTGATTACTACAAAACAAAATGCAGAACAATTCAAACAACTAGCACATCAAGAAAACAAACTTACAAAAGGGATTCTGTGTCATCATCAACACCATTCTCACAACAACCCCATAAAGAAAAAAGAGCGTTTCTTCCCCCCAACGATCAAACCAAACCAAACCAATTCTCCATCACATAGCACATAAAAGACCACAGTCAAAACAACAATGCGTCAGATCGAAGAAAACTGTCACAGACCCAGATCTTCAACGGGCTTTCAAAAGGCCCGAAATTAAAGAACCCATTGAAGCAGTGAAGAAAACCCAGAACACAAAATCTTATCTTGATCAACAAAAATGACAAAACACGGAACGAGAAAGAGGGAAGTAACAACCAACATTGACGACAAGGACAGTACAAACTCAGCAATTAACGAACATGATAAACAAGCCTTAAAATAAAAATAAAATAAAAATTCATAATTATAAGAAGAAGAAAAAAAGGTTTAAAGAAACATACACAATATAAACTTTGACAGCCATTGATCAAGGTCTCTGAGTGTCTTTCTCTGTAATAAGTTTTGTCACCTAAACACAGCTATGAAGTTGACGATAGAAAATGGAGAAGGAGCACTACATATATATAAATTATATATATATATATATATTAATGTCTCTCTCTTTTTTATTTGGCTATCTTAGAACAAAAAAAGAATTAATAAAGGCTAAAAATTCA